CAGTGGCAGGAGGATAGAAAACAGAAGACTTCTAACAAATATTTTACTACCTATCTCAGCCTCCCCTCGCCTCTTTTTGATTCCAGGGCACAAAACTGGAATTATATATGCAGAAACGCTGTCTCAAGGCTTCTGTGAATACGAAGGTTGTTAAAAACGATAATGAGGGATGATGGGTTACTTGGAAGTCCATGGGTCAGTTCAGAAAGGAAGTCAGATCTACCAGGCTATTACACATCAGTAATTATGTGTAAAGTCCCTCTTAGAAAAAAAATTAATTCATATCAAGTAGAGACAATTTAGAATATAAATAATAAACTTACTCTTTGGAGATGTGTATTAATAAGGTGTTAAGGCCTTGGTAAATTAAAAAAAAAAAACATGGTGAGGGGGGTTACATGACTATCAGAATTTTTAGGATTTGTTTTCACATGGAGTCAATTACATACTGAATACAAAGAACAGCTACCCTTTCACTGAGTGTTTACATGGTGCCAGGACTTTAACAATTTATTTAATGAACACTTAAATAATATTAATTATGTACCAGGCACTGTTCTAAGTATTTTGCAAATATTAACTAGTAAGTGCTGTGAGATATGAACTTCTATCATTCCCTCTTCAGAGATAAGGAAACTGAGGACAGAGATGTTAGGTAACGTGTCCAAGGTCACCCATCCAGTAAGTGGCAGAACCACGATTCAAAGCCAAGTAGTCTGGTTCTAGAGACTATACTCTTACCTGCTGGCCTCCTGTCTCTAACATTATCACAAGTCCCTGTGATACTCCTGAGAAACAGGTGAATCTGTTTCATACATATGGAAACATAGGCTCAGTGAGCGTAAATAGTTAGCCCAAGGTCACACAGCCGCTACGTGGCACAGCCAGAGTTCCCACCAACACGGTCTGCTATCACGCTCCACGGTCTTTACGTAGAAGCCTTGTTTGAATGGTGATATTTTCTGAAAACTTCCTCCAACTAGTTCATACATTTTTATCTTTAAGTATTTATTACAAACATTTCAGATTAGGAAAGGTGAAGAACAAAACTAAATGTCCTTCATCTATTTCTTCTCAAGCTGATGCCTGAATGGTCATAGCCAAAATAGCTAGGGGGAAATTTTACCATAACCACTACAACGAACGAAAGCCAGAATTTCTTTGCATTCTGCCTGGTATTTTGCGAAGGCCAGAGGTCTCATAATGATGTAATGAACACACGGGTATGGACGGATCCACGGCTCATTAGTATCTGAAGTCTTTATCCACTGGAGGAGCATAAATTAGAAAATGATTTCAAAGCCATGTTTCTGTACTTACGAAAATAAACCACATTTGATACTTCTACCCCATTTTCTGTCTTATGAACGGAGACAAATACTGTAATTTACACCTAGTTTTGGTTTGTACTTTCTCTTCAATTTCAACGTACAAGATGGCTAACGTAGTTCCGATCTTCAGCCCATTTAGCAATTAATGAGAAATTCATAAAGAGAACAAGCAAAGTATAATTTGAGGAAATAATTGTGCATTTTATTATGAGTTCTTGCAGTTTTTCCATGGAGTCCCATCTTTCTTACATGTGTTGGAATTCTTTAAAATTCAAGAAGAATCCTCACAAATCACAAGATGATGTTTTTAAAGGAAAGCAAGACTATAAAAAAGTTATAAAATCTATGGATTAAAAATAAGTATCCTAGAGAAATTCTTTAAAAAATGGAAACACATATAAACTTCTGGTGGCATGTGAGATTCTCCATGATGTAGCTCTGACTACCTGTCCAGGCTCTTTCCCTGTCATTTGTCACAGGTGCTTATATCCCACTAGCTCTGGTCCACAGCTTTCCTACACAATCTGAGTTCTCTGGCCTGCCTGCCTTTGCATATGCTGATCTACCTGCTTGGAGCCCCCATCTGTACCTCTCAGCCCCTTTGCTTTTCTCTCCCCTGTCCCACCACAAATGCCTTCTTCTTAATCAAGTCTTAGCTAATCATTTCCCTCGCTCTTTCAGGAAGAATTAGTCTTTCTCCTAGCCTCATCGCCTTTATAATTATCTTCTTGTGTTATATTTAGTTAAAGCTCTGGTTTTGGGTTAACTCCTCCAGGTGACAGCAGAGTTGAACTTTTTTGCATTGTTATCATTTTTGTCTTGAAATACTTCAATCCCCAGGACTTTGCCTAGGAGCACAGTAGATGCTTAATAAACTTTTACTAAAATTTGGGGTAAACGGTGGTGAGGATGACAGAAAAATGTGGACAAGAGGATATTTGAGTGCTAAGATGTACTACGTGTGTGTGTGTGTGCACGTGTGCACACATGCGTGTCTCCACTTGTGAGGTATGGAATCAATGACACTAAATGCATCAATACTGAATTATAAAACCCAAAAATCAGTTAGTGAGTAACCCTTGAGGAAAAACTTACCAATAATGCTTGGAAACTCAGAATCTGTGCTTCCTGAAGTCAAAGAGACCTCGCTGTGAATACCACTTAACGACATTAGAAATACTGAGTTTACCTACCTATATTATACGCCAAAATTACAGGAGACATATTATAGCCAGGCAAAAATTGGTTATAACCTTAAAGGAATATTCTGTATATTTTGTTTGCAAGTTTCCTTGGTGTTCTACTTTGACATTTTCTTTTGAGATGTTAGTGACAGAACACTCTGTCATTTCCACAGCATATGACTCATACCGCTAACCTTTCTCTGCTTGAAAAGACTCCCAGAACGCCTTGGAAGTATGCTTTTGTGAGTTTTTTGTTTTAGTGATAAAGGAATATGAAGGTGAAGCTCTTAACTCTTTCTTTCTACAGAGTTAAGGACTTCAAAAAACACGAGCCTTCTCTGAAGAGGACAAATTGAGGGCAGCAGATGCTTTCGAGAAGTAAATGAAAAGTCCCAGTACAGGGCACTTCTGAAGACTGGCGAACGGGAGTGAGATGACTGAGACCAATGGAAAGGCCAAAAGAAGAGGAGAAAAACAACAACAACACACAAATGGGAGGAGTGAACACACATAAGAAACTATGGAAACACCAATACTGTGCACTTTCAAAACAGAAAAGACAAATCAATACAAATCTTTATATATATAATGGGAATGAAACTGATTAACTTAAAAAACTCTTTTATTCAGGCAATCCCATTAGGAAAAAAAAAAGCCATAGCCTGCAGAATGGAAAATCCATTACCTCCCTGAACCATATGTAACACTGGCATTTAAAATTAATTATTAAAATTAAAGTAAAAGTTAAAGTAAGTAAAAATTAATTATTTGCTTTCCCTCAAATGCCCAAGGCAAAAACTAATGGGAAATTGCATAGAAATAAACCAGTTCCTGGGGCGCCTGGGTGGTTCAGTGGGTTAAAGCCTCTGCCTTTGGCTCAGGTCATGGTCCTAGGGTCCTGGGATCGAGCCCCGCATCGGGCTCTCTGCTCAGTGGGGAGCCTGCACCCCACCCCCCCCGCCTGCCTTTCCACCTACCTGTGATCTTTGTCTGTTAAATAAATAAATAAAAATCTTAAAAAAAAAAAAAAGTTACGTGCACAAATCAGAGGCTTTTATTTTATACCACAGTGCAACAAACCAAGGCTGTTGTTTTGTCTCTAAGCTTAGAAGTCCAATGAGTATCCAACCTAGCTAGTTAGCAAGTAATTTCTCGGTCAGCTCCTCTCACCTGGGTGTCCCTCTGTTCCTCTTGAATAATCCTAGAACAAAACACCAGCACTTGCAAACTTTGGTAGGCTTTTGCTTCAAGCCCCTTATCTTCTTCCATACCCTAACCGAAGTAAGTCTCCCTCCCATGCCTACAGCCTCTGTTACTGCTACTCTAGCCCAGACCCACATCTTCTTAATTGGACTCTGCCTTAGATCCCTTATTAATGTTCTTGCCTCAGTCTTACCCACACCTCCTACCCATCTTCACTCTACTGCCAGAGAGAAACCTCCTTCCAACATGAAACCTAATCAGAGTAGCCCAGGTTCACCTTCACGCCTACCCCACCCTACAATTTTCAGTAGGTTGCACTCCCGATTACCAACAGAATAAACTCTGAAATCTTTTTCATGGCATTCAAGACCCTTCATGTTCTGCTCTTTGCCTACCTGTGCCTCCTGTGTCGATTCCTTGTGCCTACAGATCTGACATTCCAGCAATGTTGAGCCATAGCTCCCCACCACACCAGTCTCAATCTCCTTCCCTTCCATCGGTGGTATTTACACAGTTTGCCTGTGTGTAATATCCCACTTCCGTTTCTCTTCCTGGCAAGCTTCTAAGTCATCCCCCAATCCCAAGTTCGAATAGTCCCTTTCCTGTGAGGCCTCCCTGACTTCGCAGGGGGACTGCTGTTCCTTCACCTAGATTCCTACTGCAGTTCGTATATACATTTTTGGGCAACATATTGTATTTTAATTATTTTTATCTCCCCACTAGACTTTTAGAATCAGAGGATTTGTATCCCCTGTATACCTAGCATAGCACAGTACCTGACACGTAAATACTGATTGAATGTTTGACCATATGAATAAATAAACTTGGACTATAAAATATAAAACCTCTTACAATTGTGAAAACTGTAGGAGAAAAACTAGCAAAATAATCTCTACCCTTAACCTTCCACGTGTAACTCAAAACCTTATTATACCAGAGTGAGGCATTCATCTTCATCCCACTTTTATCGGCTGTGCCCTCTCAGCTGTGATCACCCACAACCAGGACAGCAAGGAGAGCACTAGTGACCTGGGCTGCTCCTCTGGTCTGGCTACCAGTCCCCTGCCTCACGCACACAGGCAGACAAATGGACCTCTTCCAGCAGAGCACAAGACCCTGGCCACAAATCAGACCCCAGTCCTGCCACCATGTACATTAACAATGAACCCGTTTCTCTTACTTGTCATTACACGTAGAACTGTGAGTAAAACACACTTTAAGAAAGCCCGATGCACTGGTAGAAATGTTCCTGCCACATTAGAGCCAGCTGCGTCCCCCCTACCTGCTAGCTTGATGTTCATGTTGCTATCCAGCAGGAGATTTTCAGCCTTGAGATCACGGTGCACGATCTTCCGGCCATGACAATAATCAACAGCGGACAGGATTTGCCAGAATTTGCGCCTGGCCTCAGACTCATTTAACCGGCCATGATTAGCAAGGTAGTCTGTTAGAAAAAAAAGAGAGAGAGAGAGAGAGAGAGAGAGAGAGAATTTAGAATTATTCATCAAAAGCAACCAGCCAACCAACAAAAAATCCCCACTATTAGTAGGCAGAACTTTTTCTCCTCAAAAATCTACCTATTTATTGATTTTATTATAATTCCAGTGTAGTTTATACCCAGTGCTATATTAGTTTCAGGTGTACAACACAGTGATTCAACAATTCCATATATTACATAGTGCTCATCAAGGTAAGTGTACTCTTAATCCCCTTCACCTATTCAAAAGCTTTTTAAATGAACAGGAGTGTGTATTCAAGTAACATGCCGTTCTCCAGGTTCCCTGCCTTGAGAAAAGTAATTCCAATCACATTTCACTGGAGTCCAAATAAATGGAGAGAGTCCAAGACCAGACAACGGCAAGTGGCATGACAGTCACTGTATAATTCACAATACTTTTTTATGCCTAAGCACGTCCTCTGTTCTGTTTACAAGTTTACTGAATATTTTTCCTAACCACATTTAAATGTAAAATTTACGTTAAAAAAAAAAAAAAAAAGAAACCCATGAATCCATTTCCTGCCATCCCATCAGACAAAGGCTATCTTTCTTGTAAGCGATCGTTTCCCACAGTTATCAGCAGCCACCTGGAACGTAACAGTGGTCCCTGGAAGCAGCTTAAATAATTCACACCCTGCTTTGTTTGGTGGAGCCCTTCTGACCTACCCAAGACTTGTTCTCTAAATCAAACACGATAGCCAGGTTCTCTAAGCAAATACACCTCACAAGATATACTAGCTATCTGTGTACAATATTATAATCCCTATCAAAGCAGTTTACCTGAAAATTAATTCTGCGTATGTTTACATGAACTCAATAAAAGGAAACATTATAGCTCATTCAAGTTGTGCCTGAACATCTAAAAGGCTTTTGAAATGGTCTTTTGAGGGGAAAGGGTCAGCAGAAATCTTGACGGGTTTTTCTAAAATTTAAAATTGTTTTCCCAACCTAGGAACTGCACGGGTAAATCAATATTCATTCATCTCCATATGTTTTCTGCTCTAGGCTATGTGGTTTACGGATACGGAGATTCCATGGCTTTGGCTCAGGACATTGTCAATATTTATTATAAAATCAACGTGTGTACAGCACGTTACACTTTTTTTTTTTTTTTTAAAGATTTTATTTATTTGAGAGAGGGAGAGAGAAAGAACATAAGAGGAAAGAGGTCAGCAGGAGAAGCGGTCTCCCTGCCAGAGCAGGGAGCCCGATATGGGACTCGATCTTGGGACTCCAGGATCATGAACTGAACTGAAGGCAGTCGCTTAACCAACTGAGCCACCCAGGCCCCCCGCAGCATTTTACACTTTATAAAGCATGTTTGTATCACTGTATCCCCCTTAATCATCCTAAAACCCCTCTACAATAACTATAATTTTAATTTGCATTTTATAAATGAGGGAGCTGAAGATCAGAGGGATAACAGAATCCGGCTGAATTCAGACAACTGGTAAGTGAATGGCTGATCTGGAATGTTTGTTATTTTTATTTTAATTAATTAATTTTTAAAAAAAGATTCTATTTATTTACATGGCAGACAGAGATCACAAGCAGGCAGAGAGAGAGTGGGGGAAGCAGGCTCCCCGCTGAGCAGAGAGCCTGATGTGGGGCTTGATCCCAGGACCCTGGGACCATGACCTGGGCTGAAGGCAGAGGCTTTAGCTCACTGAGCCACCCAAGCGCCCCGTATGTTTGCTTTTTTTTTTTTTTTTTTAAGATTTTTATTTATTTATTTGACAGAGAGAGATCACAAGTAGGCAGAGAGGGAGGCAGAGAGAGAGGAAGAAGCAGGCTCCCTGCTAAGCAGAGAGCCTGATGTGGGGCTCAATCCCAGGACCCTGGGATCATGACCTGAGCTGAAGGCAGAGGCTTTAACCCACTGAGCCACCCAGGCGCCCTCCGAATGTTTAAAAAACTGTATCATGCTTCACTAGACTCCCGCTGAAATCCTAACTATCCTTTCAATGGAATCCTAAATATCCTTTCAATGCCACCTTGCTCTTAAACAATTCCTGGTCACTTGAAGTAGAACTAATCTCCAACCTGAACTCCTTATCATGACAGCACATTGGCTCCCGCTGTAGTTCCCTGCACGTATCTCAAAGATATCTCAAAGTACGTGTTTGGGTTTGTGTATACACACACACACACACACACACACACACACACACAGCGTTGACTCTAACACACTGCGTGTTAGAAAATAAGATACCTCCACTTAAGCTTTCTGAAGGTCGGGGCCATATCATTTTCTCAGCTCCTCCCCACACTTTTTTAGGACTATATACAGAACAGCAGAGGCACAGTGTTTATTAACTACGTAGCTGACTGATCATGGATGGTACCATCAACATTATAAAATGTAGAATATTACTATTATACATGTTAGAGGCTTTAAATGTAAGCAGACAGACCTGAATGTGTCTAGGACCATAAAAACCTAGAAGTGAGCACAGACAGTAATTTCTCTGACATCGGCTATAGGGGAAAAAAAAAAAAAAGCCAGACAGATCTATAAATACAGAGAACAGGCTGACGGTTGCCAGAGGGGATGAGGTGTGCGGCTGGGCAGAATGGGTGAAGGGAAGAGGGAGATACAAGCCAAAATGAGTAAGTCACAGGCATCAAGGTTAGAGCACGAGGAATATAGTCAATGACACTATGGTGATGTAATGGGACAGACAGTAGCTACAATTGTGGAGAACATAGCGTAATGTATAAACTCGTCAAATCACTAAGTTGTACACCTGAAACTAACATAACATTGTGCGTCAACTATACTGAAATTAAAAAAAAAATGTAAACAGACATTCTGTATAATGTTTCTTCATCTGCTATTATCACAAATGTAGATGATCAGCTCCCCACATCTTCCTTTTGCCTTTCCAGAGCATACATAATAGATATTCAGAATTCTACAGGGAAAAAAAATTCATTTAAGAATATATAGAATTTTCAGTCAAAATGTCCAAACAGTCATCAGAGTGACTACGTCTAAGTTAACTACCACATAAACGATGTGTCACCTGTTCATAAGAGTAAACCAGAGCCTCAATTCTGTACTGGATGAACAGGGAAATCTCAACAAAGGGTTGGCCCTGTGGGCAAATACTGAGGGAAATGCAGCGTGTTTTCTGTACAGGATTATCTTTCGGCTAATTTGCCTTATCTTTGCAGAAACTCCCCACCAAGTGCCACTTAAGCTGTAGCTCTAAGGACCCAATTTTCTCATAGACAAATAAATGACTTTTCAAGAGAGACAAAATTTCTTTCTGCTGAAAATGCTGAATCATGGGGCACCTGGGTGGCTCAGTGGGTTAAGCTGCTGCCTTCGGCTCAGGTCATGATCTCAGGGTCCTGGGATCGAGTCCCGCATCGGGCTCTCTGCTCAGCAGGGAACCTGCTTCCCTCTCTCTCTCTCTCTCTCTCTGCCTGCCTGTCTACTTATGATCTCTCTCTGTCAAATCAATAAATAAAATCTTTAAAAAAAAAAAAAAAGCTGAATCAGGGACACCTGGGTGGCTCAGTGAGTTAAGCATTTGCCTTCAGCTCAAGTCACACATGATCCCAGAACCCTAGGATCAAGTCCAGCATTGGGCTCTTTGCTCAGTGGGAAGCCTGCTTCCCCCGGCCTGCTGCTTGCCCTGCTTGTGCTCTTTCTCTCTCTGCAAATAAATAAATAAAATCTTTCTTTAAAAAAAAAAAAAAAAAAGGAAAAAAATGCTGAGTCAATGTGAACTAATGTGAAAAATTTTTGTGATTCTAGCAACACAGAGAAACCTAATGGATCCAATGCGAACAAATATAAGTATATGGGGGAACAATAACAAACCGTCGCCTACAAAATGCGTCCTAGGAAGCACAAGAGAATCTAGAGTACAGACTGGTTTTTGGAAGTGATCAGTCCCAATCAGTATCACCCTAGCAAGGAGAAAGGAAAGTTCTGAAGCCTGGCAGGAAAGGTACTGTCTGGGGCGGGGAGAGGGAGCGGCGGGAAAGGAATGCTATGCCTGGACCTAAAATTACCACGTAAAGCCAGAATTGCGTAACAATAAACATGTAACACACTGTGAGAAGCATGACAACATCCATGTTTGAAAGATTAAGAGAATGCCTGTTTAAAAAGGTTGGTATGTTCACTCCCAAGTGAACCTTCCTCATTCTGTATGATTTCTGCAGTGTGGGCAGCCCTGAAAACTGTACCATCTGCTGTGAAATCAGCAACAGAAGTAACTGAGGTAAAAACCTGCGCTGAAAGAACACGGGATTAGGTACACTTCCTCATGCTCTGGGAGGGGCGCTGTTCTCAGTCCAAGCTCAAGTTAATACACAAGGTCCTCAAGGTAACATGCAAAATGCACACCCATGTTTTGCATGACAAACTTAATTATGGTTACAGAACAAGCGAGTGTAACAGCAATTCTCCATACGAATTGCCTGTATGCATATTTTTGATGGGTACAATTAAAAAATTGCTTTTTCCTATGTTTACATTTGATCTGATACGTGAAATGTAATTTTGTTGACTTTAATAACAAAACTTTTAAGGTTTTATTTTGTATGTCCTTTCCTCCCATTTTGCTTTTATGGTAATTGATTCTTTTGCATTTTATCAAAATCACGGTCTATATCAGACAATTAAAAAAGTTGGTCTTTCAATATTGATAACTTGAGAAATACTGGTATAGATAAGTAAATAGGCAATTACAATATACCACGACAAAGGCTAGCACAGGAATAAATACAACCTAATAAAAATTTCTGTAGGTATCTTTTAAAATTTTCTATTTTTATTATGAAAATTTCAAACATACATGAGAGTAGAAAAAACCGTATAATGAATCCCCCAGATTTAAGAGTTGTCAACATATTGCCATACTTGGTTCATCTACTTTTTTTTTTTTTTGTAGTAACCTAAAGCAAATGTTGGCATTATTTTGTTTCAC